TCTACAATGGAATGGTTCACAAATAAACATATCCAGGTGTTAGAATGGCCAAGTCAAAGTCCAGACCTGAATCCAATCGTGAATCTGTGGAAAGAACTGAAAACTGCTGTTCACAAACGCTCTCCATCCAACCTCACTGAGCTCGAGCTGTTTTGCAAGGCGGAATGGGCAAAAATTTCAGTCTCTTGATGTGCAAAACTGTTAGAGACATACCCCAAGCGACTTACAGCTGTAATCGCAGCAAAAGGTGGCGCTACAAAGTATTAACTTAAGGGGGCTGAATAATTTTGCACGCCCAATTTTTCAGTTTTTTATTTGTTAAAAAAGTTTGAAATATCCAATAAATTTTGTTCCACTTCATGATTGTGTCCCACTTGTTGTTGATTCTTCACAAAAAATTACAGTTTTATATCTTTATGTTTGAAGCCTGAAATGTGGCAAAAGGTCGCAAAGTTCAAGGGGGCCGAATACTTTCGCAAGGCACTGTAAGTAAACTGTCTGAAGTTTTAGTGAATTAACCAAAAAACATTTATAAAACTCCCCCAAAAAATAGAAGGTAAAAATATTAATAAAGTATACAACAGAAATGAATAATATCAGTAAAATCCCTGAAAAATATTGGCAAAATGTGTAAAATATATAAAATTGTTAATAAAAATCTCAATTAAAACATTCCTTAAAAATTAGCAACTTAACTGAAAAAATGTGAGAAAAATGATCTAAAGATTGTTACCACTTCCACAGGTGAATGTTTTAGTCGGTGTTTGTTTGTTGGTATTTTTGTTTGTTAACCACAGTGATGAACAGATTTGGATGAAATGTGTTGGAGAGGTGGGGTACGGCCCACAGGACACCTAATTAGATTTTGGTGCTGATCGTCTCATAATTTGGACATGGTAATATTTTAAATGATTCTTCCCCACTGTGAGTGCTGGGAAGGCTGCTGACTGTATGTGAGCCCCCTTGTGGCCAAGGTGCGCTGCTGAGCCTCCAAGCACATATGGAGACAAAGCCCTGGGTCAGCAACAGCTGGCCATTCATTGTCGATGGAGACCGAATGCTGTCGCTCAGCCCACCCCACTGTGTGAGACAGGAACTGGAGGAGCCCAACAAGGCCACGGCCCACAGCTGGGGAGACATCTACTCTATGCAGCGACAGCTGGGCAAGAGCCTGATGACAGAAGTTTGGAGCCAGGCTGAAAGCTGTTCTCAGTTTCATCCATAGGACTGGGATTACGCCACTTTGTTAAGGTGTGATGTGTTTTCAAACAACAATTTAGAACTTGTTCCGACATGATGTGAGTGCTCATTATCTGACCAAGCTAGCTCTGTTACCATGTGGTTCATTGCACAGCAGGACGTTGCTGTTCCAACTGCACATTATAGCTGCGTTTCCACTGTCGGAGCCTAACGTGCTTCCCTTGACCGACATGGGTTGACGCCAACAGTCCTGCTTTGCTTTTCCACTGTGTGGGTTTTTGTTTAGAGGAGGGAGGAGCTGCATTCCTCTCACTCTCCCAGCTGAGCAGAGGACATGAAGGATCCCTCTACCGTGCACCAATCAGCCAGTAACAGAGGCTGGATGAGCAGTTTATCAACAGCTGTTGAACAAGCAGAACACAGACTTGCAGAAATGTGACGTCTTCACTGCTTTGCCCGCAGTCCTCTCACTGAAGTCCTCGTTTGACCTCTAAACCAACACGTGGACGTCTGTCATGTCTGTTGTTTTTGTTGAATAACTTTCAAACTAATGAGGATATCGGCGTCATTCCACATGCCAGCAGTAGGTCTTCAATCAATCATAGTGTGAGGGCCACACTATCGTGCTAATATTGCTGTTATGGCATTATGGGCACACTGAGTCGCTTTTGGCGGAGGCCTGCATTCTCTGAGTGCTGACTGGTTCAACCTCTTTTCTTCAGTTCAGTGACCTCAGTTACCAGTTTGTACTGTAAAAGTATTTCAAAAGCTATAGCTGGTTACTTTGCACTATGAGAGTCCTCACAAAGATAGGAGCATAAATGTGAGTGTGTCTGCATGCTGTAGTGTAATAATGTGCAGCATGTAGGTAGGTAGGTAGGTAGGTAGAACTTTATTGATCCCACAGTGGGGAAATTCCAGTGTTCCAGCAGCAATAAAGGCCAAAACATGACACCATAAGAATAAACACCCCACACATATCTTGAGAAAAAAAGATCCAGGTACCCGAAAAACCAAACAAAAATTTAGTATTTCAGAGACAATCAAGAACAAGAATAGACCTCCAGCAGTTTGTCCCTGAGACACAAGACAAAAAAAGAATAGTACTGAGGAATCAAGAAAACAACCAGAGTGTTTATTTGTCATATGCACAGTTAGGAAACATGTTTCCCTGTACAATGAAATTCTTACTTTGCCGTCCACATGAATGCCACAAAATACAAATGAAATATAAAGTAGATAAATAAGTAACACAAAATATAAGGCACTTTAAGCAGCGGAGATGCAGCAATATAATAGAAAAAAAATATACAAGAATATAACAGAACGTATGCTGCATGGGAGCAGCATGTGCAGCAGTCAACAGTCAATGTGCAATTATGCATGTGCAAACTGAGAATGTAAACAGTACATCACGTATTTCCTGGTAATAAACGCCTCAGCTGTTTAGTCCCTCATAATTTCACCTATCTTATCACTGCAGTGATGTGTTGTACAGTCTGATTGCTGTGGGGAGGAACAACCTACGGTAACACTCCTTCTTACACTGGGGATGTAACAGTCTTGTGCTAAAAGAACTGTTCAGAGCCTCTACTGTGTGGTGCAGGGGATGGGAGGGGTCATGTATGATGGATGTTAGTTTTACCAGCATCCTTCTGTCCACCACCTCCTCGATGGAATCCAGAGAGCAGTCCAGGACAGACCCAGCTCTCTTAACCAGCTTGTTTAGTCTCTTCCTGTCCCTGACCATGCTACCTCCTGCCCAACCCACAACAGCATAAAAAACTGCAGATGCCACCACAGAATCATAAAATGTCCAAAGGAGTGCCCCCCTCACACCAAAGGACCTCAGTCTCCTCAACAAGTGAAGGCGGCTCTGGCCCTTCCTGTACAGGGCATCTGTGTTGTTGGTCCAATCCAGCGTATTGTTGAGGTGGACACCCAGGTATTTAAAGGTGTCCACAATCTCAATATCTGAGCCCTGAAAGCTCACAGCTCAGTGAGTGCTGGTGATTTCCGCCGGGGGTCAATCACCATCTCTTTTGTGCTTTGTAAATGAAAAATACTGTAATCCCATTACACAAGAGCAGTTCACACAGACAGTAACACACACAAACACACAGCCTGAGTCAGGTGAATGCCCTGCAGTGTTAATAATGTGTCTGGATTCTCTACATCATGTCCATGAGCAGAGAGCTTTGAAGAAGATCCAGGAGTCATGTGGAGGTCTTTGAAGCCCTGATGGACACTCAGAGTTCAGTGTTTATTTGTCATATGAACAGTTAGGAAACGTGTTTCCCTGTACAATGAAATTCTTACTTTGCCGTCCACATGAATGTCACACAATACAAATGAAATATAAAGTAGATGAGTAATAACACAAAATCTAAGGCACTTTAAGCAGCAAATGCAGCAATATAATAAAAATATATCAGAATATAACAGAGAATGTATGCTGCATGGGAGCAGCATGTGCAGCAGAGTCATTGTGCAATTATGCATGTGCAAACTGAGAATGTAAACAGTACATCACGTATTTTCTGGTAGTAAACTCCTCAGCTGTTTAGGAGTCTGATGGCGGAGGGAAAGAAAGAGTCCCAAAAGCAGTGTTGGGAGTCCTTGAGCATGTTTTAGAGTCAGAGAAAAATCCTGGCATTCCTTGTCTTTTCCTAAAATCTTACCAATAGAGGAGCAAAACATGTAGAGTTTGTCCTGATGCTGGCACTCAAGGAAAGATGGAAAAGTCATGGAAAAGTAATTTCATTCACAGACCTGTGATGGTGGTGACTCGTATCGTGTCCTGTTGGTGCAGACTGATAAACACGAATGTTCACTGTCCCTGTGGAGCATCAGTATCAGGTCAGTCAGCATGATTCCCAGCAGCTGCTCATGTTTATGAGCTGTGATGTTGTCATGGAGTCAGTCAGCTTTATTCAATACTAGGTTCCATGTAGTCCCATTAGAGGCAGACTAAGCAGTGAGCAGTGCTGTGTGACAACTGTCACTGGATCCCTGTGAGATTGAAGGAAACTTAGAAACTGCAGGATTCTCAGACAGGTTCTGCAGCCTCTTCTCCTCTGGTTTCTGAGTGGGTTTATGGAGGTTTATTCTGGGTGGACATCAAGTGGAAGTCGCACTCGATCAGATCAACATGTGGCTGATGTCTGTGTTTACATATCTCACTGAGTTAGGACTGAGGAGGAGGATGACCACCTTTAGAGGATCTTCATTGGCCACAGCACTGGAGTCACTCAGAGGTCACCAGCTGTCTGTCTCCACTGTCACCACAACAACCATCTCTTTGTGACATCTAATTGGATTGGATGCTAATGGACCATGTTTCCTTGGGGAAGTCAGAGGTCAGGAAGTCACCCATCTGACACCTGCCCCTCTGTGACTGGTCAAACTGAAATAAATAGACCTGGTCAACAACTAAGATTGGGGAGGCTTTAGAGGTCCTTGAGGATGTCTGTGCAGAATCTCAGTCATCCAGGTCATAGTAAACTGAAAAATACAAGTCCTTGAGGATGTTTTATTGACCTTGAGAAGCTTCCAAAAGATTCTAGGTAGGTTTTTGAGGTCCCTGAGGAGGTACTGAGAGTCCTTGAGAAAGTGGTATGAGTCATTGGAGACTCAAACCCCAAACCTTCAGGCATGTTTGCCAGAAGGTTTGGGGAAAAGTTTTATTGTCTAAAAATGGTGCCAGGGAATGTTCCAGGTGTCCTCTAGTAACTTCTAAAGGTCATTGAGGAGGTTGCACAAAATGTCAAACTAATCTGTTTCTAAGTTTCATGGAGAGCTCGTCAAGCCCTAAAACAATTCCCATATTTTCTGAACTTTGGTGCCTCTGTTTGATCCCAGGCAGAGAAATGAGAGCTCTCTCTGAGATCTCAGTCTGGTCTCATCCCAGCCAAACTCATGCATCTCATGCTGAGCTCGGGGGTGGGTTCATTTCGGCAATATCCTTATCTGAGTTCTCCCAGTGGGTTGACTATGTTTCTTTCAGTACTACTGTTCATGGTCACATGGTCCTGTTGTATATTCCTTTTTGTTGTGTGTGTTGCAGCAGTGTACCTGTTTATTATGTCACACTGTACCATATTGGACTAGTTGTGCGTACTTGCTATAACTGCTGTAGTAATTCATGCCCTGCTCTCTTGTTGTGTTATTGTGTTGTCCCACATGATGCTTCCTGTGGCTCTGCCAAATTCAAAGGGGGCTGCAGATGATAGAGCAACTCTGTCACTGTTTCCTGCCACCCCAGTGCTCGCCACACAATATGGCTATACATGCAGTATGTATAGACTCACATGTTGCTTTGGTACTTCTCATTTTCTTCTCCAAGGGAGGAAAAGTAGCCATTCTTACCACTGAGCTGAGTTTAGTCATCTCCCTTATGTCTCCAGAACAGACTCCTGTTGCTCATTGTCCCGTCTCACCTGGTTCTCCTAGTGAATTTTAGGAGAAGCATCAAAAACACATTAGACAAAACAGAAACTGAAATGAGGCTGAATTTAGAATCGTGGTTTTGCCTCCAGAGCTGTAGAAGAGGAAGCTATGAGCAGTAAAACCTTCAAATTTTCATTACGTTTTCCCCCGTCTGAGCTTTGTATAGACTTTTTAGTCACTCCCTCTTCTGCAGTGGTTTAATGGCATCGCCTGGAGAATCAGCTCCACCGGGCATTGATCTCAGCTCAGTCACACAGCAGGAGGGTATGAAGACGAGACTGCAGCCAGGTTTTCTGTAAATTCAGTTAAAATCTCAGCTCCATTTGGATGAAGCCTGTTTATCAGCTGCAGACGCTTCTTCAGGAGAACGAAGAATTACATTAAAGCAAATGAGACGCCGTCCTCTGTCCTTCGTCTCTCATTGTCTGTTTCCTGTCCTCCATCACTCTGTGTGTGTGTGTGTGTGTGTGTGTGTGTGTGTGTGTGTGTGTGTGTGTCCTTGAGACTCTCTTCCCTGAGTCTGTGTCCTTGAAGACCTTCCAGGGAGCCTTGAAGGATCTCCAGGATGTGGCACCTTGTTCTTCTGGTATCAAAACCTCTCACCTGTGTCACACGTCTTATTCTGTCAGGTTATTGATCGGAGCACCAAGGGACAAGGCGGAGCCCAATGTTCCAGCCAATCGAACAGGTGGAGTGTACAGCTGCCCAATCACTGCTGACCAATCGGAATGCAGCAGGATGGAGCTCATAGATCCAGGTGAGACTCACCTTTAGCTTATTTCTTTATTTGCTCACAGGAATCGGGATGGTGCAACGGATTCAGGTTCAGGCGACGTCTGTCCATCAGCGTTTTTCTGGACTGGTTGATTTCTTACTCCTAAAAGCTTGGCACAGTTAAAATACTTTCTAAACAGCGACACTGTGGCCGCCATTTTGGTACAGGGAAGCCTCCTAACACATGTACTGTGTATGTCTAAAGGTAGGAGGTCTATCCACAGTTAAAATCATCATAACTCCCTGAATCTACTGACTGATTTTCCAGCTGTTTGCTTAGTTGTAAATGCAGAAATGTAGTTACAAAACAAAGGTTTCTGAAGGTTCAAAATTAATTTTTAATGACATTTATAGTAAAATATTTCAATTTTTCATATTTACATTGTCACAGTAAATAAAACCACTTTTTATAACTAACAACAATTTTGTAAACTTTTTTGTGAAATGTTATTTATTGCTTGGTTTTGACTTTTCTGTCATTCCAACATCCAAAAGCAGCACAGACATATGGTGTTTCCTGCTGCAGTATGGCGGCAGCAGTTTCACAGATCACAGCGTGACGTCCACATGTCTCTGTTGGTAACCTGCTCCTGTAGTCCGAGCTCACGGTTACTGTGGACACATCTGCCATCATGTTTCTGCCTGATGTTATCTCTCTCCTGGTGCATTATGGGTAGGGCTCTCTGTCTCTGGGCTTTTATCTGCTGCTGCTAAACACACTTGGACAGGATAAAGCCTCATGGCCAGTCAGAGGGCTTCATTTTTAAAGTGATGCCGTAAAAAAAATGAAAATCACAAAACTGTACAGCTGCTGAGGGATATTACCCAACAATTGTCCTGTTACTGTTTCAGACCTGAACCTGTCTGAGAACCTGATTGAAGACATGTGGCTAGGCGTCTCAGTCGCCAGTCAGGGCCGACCTGGGGGGAGGGTACTGGTGAGTCTGTGTTGTCATTGGCTAATCAAGCTGTCACTATTAAACATTTTTCATTGTTCATGTACTTTCAGTGTTCTGGGACTTTAAAGGGTCAGTTCACCCAAAACTTAATCTCATATTTTCCCAGTTCTCTTTAATGGTGTCTGACCACACTCAAATTAAACTCCACTAAATGGCACTGCACTGGGGTGGAAAGAAAAAAAGCATTTCTTTAACTGGTCAGACACCAGAAGGAAGAGGGAGAATATTTTCTTTGTCATTTGGGTGAACTGTGCCTTTAGAGACTTCTTCTATTCTTATAGTTTGTTTTTCCTCCATTGAGCTTTTCTCCTGATCCCCCGTGAGATTAAACGATTGACTGGTTAAAACTAAATTAATAAAACACCTGACTGATGACCAGGGTTGGGAGGGTTACTTTAAACTTGTATTCCAATACAATTACATATTGCAATGCTCTATACTATGGTGTTAACTAGTCCTCCCTCACTCGTCTTCAAATGCTGCTGCTCGTCTTTTGACAAGTAAGAAATTTGAGCATATACCCCCAGTACTGGCTTCTCTCCACTGGCTTCCAGTCTGTTTCAGAATTGACTTTAAGTTATTCATTTTTGTTTTTAAGGCTCTTAATGGTTTGACCCCATCTTACCTCACTGAATTAGTGCATTGGCACAAACCTACCAGGTCCCTCAGATCTTCAAGCCACTTTCTTTTAGAGGTTCCTAGGACCAGATATAAACGCTGGGGTGACTGTGCTTTTACTGTTGCAGCCCCTAAAATATGGAATAGTCCACCTTTTAATGTTAGGTCAGCTACTGACCTCAGTACTTTTAAATCCTTGCTTAAAACATATTTATTTGGCTTGGCTTTTAATACACAGTAGGGCCTGATGCATTCCTTTTAATCTAATTTATTGAACGTATGTTAACTGTGTCTGTTATTGTGCTGTTTTATTTTTATTTGCACTGATCTTATTTATTCTATTTTAGTCATTGATTGTGATTTTATTCTGCCATGTAAAGTACTTTGGTCAGCTGGGTGTTGTTTTTAAAGTGCTATATAAATAAATTTGATTTGATTTGCCTGTTAAAAAAAATATTTTCAGTAAGTATCGCAATATTAAATCAGAATCAGAATCAGCTTTATTGGCCAGGTGTGTTGGACCCACGAGGAATTTGACTCAGGTACAGCGGCTCTGAATGTGTTTGTACATGTCCTTATGTACGGCAGCGCTCAAGTAAACCTTATACGGCTGAGAACAGAAAGGAAAGAAAGTAATGTGCAAACAAGCAAAAGGAATTTGCATTGGTAAAAAACACACACACACACGCACACACACAGTCTAGATGGATCTAAAGCAACATGACTTGATCACTTTCCGTTACTTTTGGTTCACCCCAATACCAAATATGGACATAAAGATGTAAATTCAGGCAGTAGGACTACACAGCATCTTTGACAAAGCAAACATAAGGTGAACAGACAGTGCTTTGTTTTATTATATGGATTAAGAGCTTCCTCGCAGCATCCACTGTATGTTTTAAAAGAGCAGATGGCTTATGATTAGGTTTATTAATAGTCTGTCCAGCTGTTCCTTTCTTTGTGTGGATAATGTGCTTTTAGATTAATAGCAATGACATTAATTATGTGCATTTAATTTAAATGTACGTTATTAAGTAGGTTAAATACTTTATTCATTAACTGACAGTAGTTCTCTAACTTACTAAATGATAAAATAAATAACTCACTGACTGACTAATTACCTCGCTAACTAACCGATCATCTAACTAAACAATCTACAAATTGTAGTAGTTGACTGACTGAATAACTTTCTCTTCTCTGACAAAGTAAAAGTAACTCAGTGATGTCACTGTGACTTACAGGTGACTGTCAAATAATCATGTTGTATCAGAGATGTATTTGATTAGTAAACCTGCTCCAATTACAGTCCAAAGTTGTGTTAAATGTTGGTACCATGTAGACTAATAATGGTTTACGCACTGGCCTAGTGTATCATCTGAACCTTTGGGCAAGCTACTCAGACTGTCTTAACTAACTGTCCAACTAACTAGCTAGCTAAGTAACTAGTTGTGTCATCCCTCTCCAGGCGTGTGGTCATCGATTCGTTAAATTCTTCGGACCACTTTATCTCAGGAGCATGATTGGCCGTTGTTATCTCCGTGGAAACGACCTGCAATATGACGACACTGACTTCAACTGGCAGAAACCAGATGAGCCCTGCAAGTAGGTCACTAGCCCCCGATTGTAACTCTCGTGTAATTCACAGACGTCAGTCTCTGAGGCTGAGAAATGTTCCTCAAACAGCCACCACAGGCTGGCTCTAAAAAGGAGTCAGTCCCCACAGACTCCAATGTTAAAATTCCCACATTTACAGTAGAAATGAATGTTTACAGCCTGGTACAAAAACAGTTTTGGTCTCTGCTTAGAGTGACAGGCGGGAGGGTCCCGCCAGAAGCTGCGACTGAGCTTCACTCACACTCCACCTCTTTGCCCTTTTTTGGGTTAACTGGATTTTGGTGGACTGAAGCTCTCCCAAGATGGCAACAGCCAGACTTGAGCTTCCGAACTGCTCTTTGGGTGATGTCATAGAGGGTTTGTCCATCTTTTATATGCAGTCAGTGGCATTACCTACACTCGAGTCACAGAGATAATCTTCCTTGAGTGTCGCTGAACATTTTATCCCTGTACCGTTATTTCATAATACTCACCCGGATCCTCATAAACTGACCCAGGAAAAGTATAAATTTTGTCAGTTTTTTTGGGTGACAGAGTTTGCTTTTCAGAAAAGTAATGCTGGCACCTGGAAATGACATTGTTAGTCTCGCCTTTTTTTTTCTTGACAGTCTTTTTTTTTTTGTGTGAAAGTCATGAAGTCACTTTCACACAAAGCAGGAGTAATGCCGCTGTCTTTGTTCATAAGAGACAAATGGATATAACTGCGAAAATGATTAAAATTATATTTTTCTGGACTGGACTGGATTATTTTTAATTCCGCATTTTTAGAAAAGTTTAATGAATCAAGAAATAACTCCAGAATCTGGGTGTGTCTTATGAAGTCACAGTACAGGGTTAAAGCATTAGCCAAATTTTAATTCTGAACATTCAGGGAAGATTATCTCTGTGACTCAAGTGTAATACATGAGAGTAACAAGCGGGGGCTAGGAGGTAACATGACAGATGTCACATGACACCTCTGGTTTTAGACAGAGGCCACCTGATCTTGTCCACCTAGCAGTCAGGACCAGTCCACTTCCCGTTTCCTGCAAAGCTGTGTTTCTGTGTTTAGTTTCCAGAGTAAGGTCAGTGGCGAGGCCATGTGTAACATGGGCATTTCAGCCTCCATCACTCAGACTGAAATCATCGTCGGCTCACCTGGAAGCTATGAATGGCAAGGTGAGATTCTATTCTGATCTGTTTTACTCTACTTATCAGAGGTTTCTCACCTGCACAGTTTCTGCTGTGAACACAGTTGTGTGATTTCTGTGTGCGTTGTAGGAAATGTCCACATCTCCTGGATGAACCCAAATGACATCATTGATACCAAGAAGACATCCTTGTCCAACATGGAGCTCAGACACATTTATATGGGTGAACTGTCCCTTTATATGACTTGGTGTGACTTCCGCTGCCTGAGAATATCATTATCTCTGGTGCTGCTAATGAAGACACTTGTGATCAAGGCATAGTACTGAAACAGCTTTTAAAGGTTACTAATAATATTCTTTTATCCCTTGATGCTGGGGAGAGCATCCTCTTGCTACTCTAAGACCTCACTGCAGCTTTTGATAAAGTGGGCCATGAAATTTTATTTCAGCTTGCACAGTGTATTGGGTTGCAAAGTGCTCTGGTCTTATCGGACAGATAGGAGCTTCAAAGTCCATATTGGACCATGCTCCTCCTCCCCTGCCCCACTAACTTATGGTGTTAGCCAGGGGTCTGTCCTTGGACCACTTCTCTTTACCTTGGTCATGCTACATCTGGGGTCCATACTGAGGAAATAAGGGTTTTGATTTCATTTCTGTGCTGATGACATACAAATCTATTTACCACTGAAAGCAAAAAGTGGCACTCCACCTCTCTCTTTATTTAACTCTCTAGGTAACATCAAGTTGTTGTTACTTACACTCAAACTATTAAATGGCATGGCCCCACCTCACATCAGGCCCCTGGTCAAGGAGCTCTCCTAAATCAGTGAACACTTTCTTGTTAGAGGTCCTAGGGTCAAACATTATCATTGGGGTGACCGTGCTTTTTCTGTAGCGTTCCTGAGCCTCTGGAACTCCCTACCCATGAATGTTAGATGTGTCTCGGACCTGTCAGAGTTTAAATCCGCATTAAAAACCTGTTTGTCTTGGCCTGTGGTTCTTAGTGGAGTTTACCCATTTTGTTATTGTCTGCGACTGAGATCGTCTTGTTTCTTATTTTATCTTGTTTCATTTTTGTTTTATTATTCTTTTTTTTGGTTCATTTATTTATTTGTACTTGTGAAGTACTTTGGTCAGCATGTCATTGTTTTAAAGTACCGCATAAATAAATTTTGATTTGATTTGATGTGAACTAATCGTGTGACTGACAGTTAATGTTAACATTAAATGTGTGTGTGTGTGTGTGTGTTCAGGATATTCAGTGACTCAGTCCCGTCGTCTTCTCTCTGAGCATGAAGAAACCGTAGTAACAGGTGATGGAGTATAAATGATCCAATCAGTTAACATCTGGACTGATGTATTACTGTACTGATCACAGTATTAATTTCTGTATTGATGAACAGGAGCTCCCAAAGACTGTAAAGACGATGCACGAGGTTCTGTGATGATCTTGACAAAACAGCCTCAAAAGCTGACAATTAGCCAGACTCTGCGTGGTGAACAGACGGGCTCATACTTCGGTAACGCTGTGGCAACCACCGACCTCAACAACGACGGGTAATGGATGATTTTCAGATCATATGACTCACACCGAGGCCACATGTCTAGGTCACCAATGTTGTTTACTCTTCCTGATCCATATGGTCCAGATGAACTGAAGTGTTCAACAGTCAGCAGCTCCATAACTCACCTGGCATTTCACGCCAAGTTGTCAGTTTATTAGGTACACCTTGCTAAAACTAATGCATTCTAATAAACAGAACTAAAAACAACAGAAATATCTCTCAGTGTAACTCGGTCCAGTTGAACAGCAGCACAGACTGCAGCCTTGTGACCACACAGGTGAAGCAGCACCTCTGTGAAACAGGGTGAACACAAACTGAACATCATCACCTTCATGGAGGAGGGTTCACTGCAGCAATTTTGGGTTAGACCGTCTTAGTTTGAACTGGGTGTTCCTAATAAACTGGACACTGAGTGTTTAATTTGACAGATAAAAAACATTTTGATATTTGTAATTTTGTGATACCGCAGTAGAAAAGTGTCTTAATACGACCGTGGGCCTATGACAGTATCTACGAGGATATTACATGTGGCTATTTCACTAGTATAACTGTGTTCAGGTTGCAGAGTTTGAAACAAACATAGCAGATGCTCCTTTGTCGACTTTTACAGCTGTTGTGTGGCAGCATTTCAGTTTTCCTGTTTCAAGAAATGACACAAGTGGAAAGGAAACTGACAAATGCTGAACAATTTGTAGATACTTACTTTAGTCTATTCAGTTGAAAAAGTGTACCACAGTACAAACTGTTCAGTCATTTGGTGACAGTGACAATTCATGCCATGATTTTGCACATGCTTATGTCCTGGCTGGCTACTTTTAATAAATAAGGAAAGCAGGGCACTTCAACTTAAAAAAAAAACATACAAAAAAATTGTTGATTTGTTATTTAGTAGTGGGCATTTTTGTCATCTTGTCATCTTCTTTAAATATCGTAATAAATATCTAGTGTACTTTTATTGTGGCAATATTGTACCGTGAGTTTTTGGTGTCCTTACATCCCTACTTTTGAGGTTTTCACATTTGATGGTTTCAGGTTCTTTCCACTCAGTTGCAGAGCAGCAGATAAGGACTTACGTTTTCAAATCATAATCACTGATGCATTTATAGATAAAGTTATACACTAAGTTTTATGTGAATAATTCAGGACAAAGCTCTCGTGTAAAAACAGATGCTCTGAAGCCATATAATATGTCCTATAACCAAAAATGCAAACCTCCGATTTACTTCTTCTGTCCTGCAGCTGGAACGACCTGCTGGTGGGCGCGCCGTTCTACTTTGATCGTCAGCAGGAGCTGGGTGGGGCAGTTTACGTCTACATGAATACAGGAGGAGGGTTTGATGCTCAGCCCAGCGTGGTGCTGAGGGGACCGGCTGGATCTGCATTCGGTATGGCTGTTTCTGCCGCTGGAGACCTGAATCAAGATGGCTTCCAGGGTGAGGACACACTGTTACACTGGTGTTCATATTTAACAATCAATAATCAAGAACAGTAGTGATTTGAGGTTCTTGCTGTCTTTCAGACTTTGCAGTCGGAGCTCCCTTCCTTGAAACTGGAAGTGTGATGATTTGGACCGGGAACAGCGGCGGGGCTTGGCTGACCCGAGCCAGGGCCTACATATATTTGTCTTTCTATCCTCGTGAGGACACTCATTGACATAATGCATCCCCTAGCCCCCTATCCTAACCTAGACCTGATTCTGACATGAACCTTAAAATCAGATCTGAACCCCTCAAACAGCTCTTTGAAGCCATGAGGCCTAGACAATATGTCCTCACAGTGATGGTTATAAATAGACAGGGGTCACCATACAAGCCTGTAACCCCTCTCTTGTCTCTGCAGGTGATCCAGGGCAGCAGTGTCTCTCCTGGGTTCAGGACTTTCGGGTACTCTCTGGCTGCAGGTCAGGATGTTGATGGCAACAAATATCCAGACCTGCTGGTTGGTTCTCTGGATGACACCGTTGCTCTGCTCAGGTACATCAAACCTGTACCTGCCTACAGAATATTTTACTGTCCACTGGTGGAAAGTAGCTTGGTACATTTACAGTTTAAAGATACCTGTACTCAAAGCTGGATCACCAACCAGGCTAACCAGTTTACCCCATATCAGCTGTTTCTGTATAATTAGATTAACCACAAGTTTGTTAGAAATGTATCACTACATGCGTCCTTCATCCTTTATGTTGTGGCTCTGGTCCTGTTTTCATCATTAATATCATTTATTAACCAATTCATCATCCAGTGAGTAAAATCAGAAATTAGTGAACAATGTCCATCCTTATTCCCAGTGAACAAGCAAACATATTGTTGTCTAGTTGTGTCCTGTGTGTGTGACCACCACCGACTTCATACGAACTTCATACAGTCTTAGTGAAACACGTAAATCAACATGTTGTTCACCTGTTGGCCATTCATCTCAGTCTCTGCCTCAGACGAACGCGCTATTTATCTTTGAACCTGTGACTGCACTGTCTTATGACTGATGATACAGTGATTGATTGGTTGGTTGATTGATTCTCCAGAACCCGTCCAGTCATCCACCTCAATAAAACCCTCCGTGTTTCCCCGGACATCGTAGACCTGAAGAGCTGCGACTTCTGGTGAGGTTCAAACCTGTGATCTGCTAACAGGCTAACAGCTAACAGGCTGACCCAGTGTGTGTGTGTCAGTCTTCAGGTGGAGGTGTGTTTCTCCTACATCTTCAGCACCAGAGAAAAAAGCGACAGAGACAATATCAGTGAGTAAACAACATATGATGAGTAAATTCACTGTCAATGAATGACTTTTGACTGATAGTGTTATAGTTTTTATTGTTTATTTTGTTATTGGTCTTATTTATTTAGTGGCTATGTTAGCCCTGCTAATTGAGTCAGGTTTGATAAGTATAGTTCTGTATTCTGTTTTTAACTTTTCTAGTCACGGCTCTCTGTAAATTGCTGGATGCCTGTATTTTCTCTGGGATTAACATAGGATCTGTTTATTATTTGTCCTGTGCCTCTCAATTATTGTTGACTAATTCCTATTGACAGGGATCTTTGCTGAAGCTCACATGCTGCCCTAACACTTGTAGTGCTTATGAGGACACACTGCTCGAGTCTCTTTATGGTCATGACTCTTTAATTACCAGCAACCAGCTTCCTGTGTGTGTGGTTATATGGCTCTTTTAAATAAATAAACACACTGGGACTGAGGACATTTCTGCACTAGGAGGACATTTCTAGACTGAGGATGTTGTCCGATCCTCACCCCTTCAAAGGCCTATTTAAGGGTTCAGCCTTGGTTTTAGGGTTAGGGTTATGTCTGGTTCGGTCTACAGCCTGACACGACAGACAAAGGGTGTCAGAACGGCCAAACAGCATCAGACACGACAGTCGATCTTTTTATCTCATATAGGGTGTCATAGTAAACGACAACCGATGCTCCATCTGGAATGCCTCACAACGTCCAAACACAAAATCTAGAATTCCAGAATTTCTTTTGAACATCTACAAAGAGGTGGGCTGACACTGACCAACAGGAGCACAGATTCTGTTCACACACTTCTGGCATATTGGACTGAACCATACAGCTAATTTTAGCACAGTGACTTTCACAGTCAGCCTTGTAAAGTAGCTAGCCTACAGGGCTAGCTAGCTAGTTTTTGGTTTTACTACTGGCATAAAGCACACCCTACTGGATAGACAACACACTGGCTAACCGCCCTCTTCATGCAAACAACAGACACTCGAGCTTTCTTCTCTTTTTAAATAAAAAAAAGTATATATATGCTTTTCCAAACACAAGCAGCCAGTATCACACACAGCACATCTGTGTTTACATTCTCATGGTCCCTGGCAGCTCCAAGTGAACAACATTAGGCTGTGATCTGTCAGGTACCAACATGTAGTCTGTCATATCCCTCGTCCAAGAATGTACGAATCTATAATTGTGTAATCCGACATAGTGACCACCGTATCAGGCAAAGGAATCGTGTAGTCTGAACCAGGCATTAGAGGTAGGGTCACGGTGAGATATTTAGTTGTAATGGTTGGGGTTAGGGGATGTGTTATGTTAATGTGGATCCTCACAAAGGACAAACTTGTGTGTGCAGTATCTTAGGTTATTAGTTGACTTAATTAATTGACAGGCCAAAGTCATCAGTTAATGGCTGTTAATCAACAAAGTGACTCTCACAGACAGGTTAGATGACATCACGCCGTGTCCTTGTATGTCCTGTCCTCTCCTGTTTTTCTGAATAACAAATCACATTACAGACAAATATTATTACATCTGAGATGCACACAGCAACACACACACTCATTCCTCTGGGAGCTCTGTGTCCTGCTTCTCCTGTTAATTCTTGACCAATCACAGACAAGGTTTCACTGTTGCTATGACACCAAGCAGCAATGGGATCAGCTGGTCAGAAGAATAGACTGTATGGCTCTTTATTTTATCTTGGATGTAATATTTAATATACATTTAATATTTGACAAAGTATTCTGATGGCACTGTTTCACTGATGGAGACAGAACATAGTGCTGGACCGGAGGTGTTTGCTGCAAAAACTCTCATTTCTCCCCCAGTGTCAAGAAAACTAAAGAAATGCTGTTGGCCGGTTTCATACAGAAAGACTTTGGCTTAGATCTAACTAATCGTCAGACTTTAGATTGATGTCTAATTTTATCTGTTTCACAAAGCTGATTAGCTCTTGACTCCACCCCACCTCCACTAATTAGATATGAATTCTGGGTAAATAATGGTTAACTTCAAACACGGCTGTCGAAGCAAACCGCTCACTCGGCAGAAAACTGTGGGTGAAATAAACAGTTAACCAACGGTATATTTTACTAGGACAAATCAATGAGTGTAAACACAAAATTTTAAAAACCGACCTGGACAAAAATGCAACCACCATCAATAGTATTAATCTGATAGTATCATCAACATTCAAAAAAGATAAAAATGTGGTACAAGATGCCAAAAACAATCCCAAAGTAGGAGGAGAACCAAAGGAAACTACTGAGACATCACGAAAATTGTGCTGAAAATTAACGGCGATGGATAGGAAAGCAGAGTTTGTGGGATCAGCATGGCCAGGGACGCTTCGCCGAGTGCAGCCATTGACAACAGCCCACCGAGCTGAAATGGAGAGACAGAGGAGGAACATGACAGCTAACAGGTGGGTGGGCACAGGTAGCATTGGGATTACTACGTGTTTATATGTCTAAAGTTTGTCAAAAGAAAATGTTTATGCCTTGTGGTGATTATTTTGGTATGCTAATGCTAACTCAGCTCAATACAACACTGGAACACCGGTACCTTGCTAGCTAGCTAATGATTTAGTGTTAACCCAAGATAACGAGAAGTTACACCACAAAAGCTAGTGTTATATTGTGGGCTGCAAAATAAAGTAGTGTTTTTCATCTTTTGTTGTATCAGCATTTTATTCCCAAAATGGAATGGCAGTGGGAGAGCACTGGGAGCCAGTGGGGCCAGCAGGCGGCCAGAGAGAAAAGGGGACTGCAGATAGAGCACGGGTCTGCTGCTCCCTGCTGGAGGATACAAATGTAACTGTCAATGGTTCTTAATAAACTGAACAGAGATTTACAAATATGAGTCATGTTTTTCTCCTTTTTGTTAGTTGATGCTATGGGACAACAGTGTCTCCAGTTGTTTTATGCAAACAAAATACTTCCATTTGAAGTAGGAAGTCCAAATTTCAGAGGTCTCAGATAAAAATTTAAACTGGAACATCCACTGAAGTGGGAATTCCTACTCAGAAAGTCAGAGGAACCACACCAACCCCAACTTTAAAATCCAAGATGGCTGCACCATGCATCAACGGTTGTGAAAGCCTCAGTTATTAGCACAACAGTCATACAAACACTACTATCCAACCTTTGCCTGTTGTTTGTTGTTTGTATGTGCTGACACCACACAATGCCTTGTTATAAACTAGTATTGCTAAAAGTGGCTAGCAACAGCAAACCCTTTGTGTACTGGGAAGTGGCCAACTCAGGTGTGATGTCATTCTCAGCTCCAACTTCCGACCTTCAAGGAAAATGGAATGCACCATTAGTTCTGCGTTATCCTGGGGGTAGGGTGGCTAACTTTTAGGCTTAAGATAAGTCGTCTTTATTTTTGTGAAATGGTACAACTTGCATTAGGCCAGCCAATGGATTTGTGAAACTGGATTTCAGGACTACACTGCTCACTAGCACAACCAGCAACCAGCACTCTCACATTCAGGTTCCTGAGGAAAACGAATACCTTGGATTTTACACTGACAACAGACTGAAGTGGAACTATCACACTCTTTGTCTGTTTTATTTTTAAAGAAAAGTAAAGATACCCAGCAACATTGTCTCAGTGATATTTGCTGACCCCCTGTCCTATAAAAAAACTTTGCTGCTCTGCACACAACAGCCCCTTTTCATTTACCTTTAGTTTCTCCCATTAGGCTGTCTCCTTCACAAAGAATTTCTTTATTTATCTTAATTATCCCACTGTTGCCCTCTGTAACATGAGTTGCAGTAGTGGGGGTTCAGTCCACAAGCTATCTTGTAAAGTGCACAAACAGATTGAATCACCATGTGCCCCCTGAGTTGGTTCTGCTCAAAACTAGTGAGAATAAAATGATCTTCATTCCTTTGTTTTGCTGTTCCTGTATACACTTAGCACTCTTTTCAGTTCATTGCCCTTTGTGGACTTGTAAATGTTATTAAAATGTCTTATTTCTGCATTTTTACACATGAAATCTGTTTTTACCTGATGTTGCTGACATTTCCTACATAAATGTGCAGTGTGTGCTGAATGCTATCATTAATGTTTGTTTCCGCCTTTGTCTCTCAGCCATCCACTTCACTGTTGCCGCCGACATCACCAGTATCAAGTCCCGCCTCCATTTCCATGACAACAGGCAGAGTGTGTATGCAGGTTATTTGTCGATGCCGAAAACACAGTGCAAAACCCTGAGGGCCGGACTGATGGTGAGACACACATCTAACAGTGACCTCTACAGGCTGCAGTGTGCATTACCACAACATCTGTCCTGACAGTGGCATTACAAGAAAAATCAGGGAGTTAATAAAATCTAAAGGGTTCATCTTCTGGAGAGCAGGAGCTTTACTGATGATCTGTAGATTTTGATTTATTTGACAAATATTTGATTTGATTTGATTTGATTTATTCTTTCAAGCATGTAAAGACAGTTGATATGTCAACACACATAATTTTACACATATCCAACAAATGCTAATCCAATATCAATGTGCTTATACCTAGTACATGCTTGAATGGAGTAGGAAGAAGTCAGACTTATCCAGTCCTACCCCATGACATCATCTTACCATCACTGATTTGCAAGTATCTCTACATAAATAATTCTCTTCTACACCACACAAGTAATATACTAAAAAAATT